CTATCCCCAGAGAAGATAAGGTTGTGCTCCTTGGTGACTTCAATGCCAGAGTTGGCAGAGATGCTGACATTTGGCAGGGAACCATAGGGAGAAATGGACTGGGCAAGTGTAATCCCAACGGCCTATTCCTCCTCAGCAAGTGTGCTGCACTCAACCTCACTATCACCAATACCTTGTTTAGGCTGGCCGACAAGTTCAAAGGTAAGTGGAAACACCCACGATCCAAACATTGACATTTCATTGACTACATCATTGACAGAGAAAGAGATCGCCGAGATGTCCTCATCAGCCGTGTCATGCGTGGCTCAGTCCACTGCAACACTGATCATCGGCTCGTCAGAGCCAAGCTCTCACTTCACGTCTCCCTCCCTAATTTAACCTAACCTAACCTTGTGTTGAGTGAGGGAGTAACGTCGCATGTGGTGAAAAAAAAACATTGTCCTTTATACCCATATGAGGATAATGAATGAATGAGTTTTCTGATGAATAAGGAACCCTCTCTCTCTCTCTCTCTCTCTCTCTTTCTCTCTCTCTCTCTCTGTCCACCTGCTGAGATTTATTTATTGTGATTTTTGTTTTCCTTGTTATATTAATGGCATCACCTGAAGATTAGATTCCTTATATTATCACCTTATGATTGTCGTATTTTCACTAGATCCAGATTTACTCCAAGACGTTATAAGGAACGATGTTAGTCGACTGCAGGTTGGTAAATTGTCACTTGAGTGTTGATGCTCCAGTAGTGTGAAGGGAGTCAGTTGTTGGTTTGTAACGCTTACTTGCGATAGGTTGTTGGGAGACTACTACAGGTCATGTCTGGTGGTGGTGGTGGTGGTGGCGGTCTCTTTTTTTCAATGTTGTTAATACATACTGTTGGTGTCGGACAGCCAAGATAAAAGGGGACAATATTTTCATGCTCTCTTTACACCTAAATCAAATAAGTTCAACAGTATTTTAACTTTCAGAAATTTGAACATTTATCATCTCCTGTTGCCTTAACTTTCTTGATTATGGAATGAAGGATTTACCCAATTTATTTTCACAAGAACCATATCCAAGCTACATTAACAAATATCTTTAATATTAATTTTCAAAAGATGTCATATATAAAATATTGGATTTTTTAGCTTGAATTTTTTTATAGAAAAGAGACATTAAACGTACTGATAATTGCCGTTTCTTCTGTTAGATATCATATCATCTGAAAGAATATAATTATATATGACAGATCACGTTTTAACGTGAGAAATATACAGTACACCGTGTGATCTGCGGTCTGATGTTATACAAGTTCTGGCGTTGGGGTAAGGCATGACAAACAGGGAGTCATCATCTGACGCTCCCCAACACCGGGGTCTGGAGCCATATGGTGACACCCTACAAGCTAAACGTTTTTCTACATCACACCACTGTACCTGACCCTTACTCGCTCACCTCCCCTCGACGCTGACATTTAACTAATATTTCAAACTTGGGTAAGTTATTCCTGCTATGAGTCCGAACACTACAGCCAAGTATTGCTGTTATCTTCCATCTATCCTTGTGTACTCAGTCACTCACACATAAATCGATTACAGTACTCTCACTACTCCTAAGGTGTAGTTAGTGAGTCCTTCAAGATGTGTTTATTCTCCTAGCTTCACAGTTTCTCTCCTGAGATTTCACTCAGAAGGGAAATATCAAATTCGGTTCCGAAATCGTTAATGCCGTCTCCCAATGACGTCAGTGCTTGTAAACAAACACTAGACGTGATGCATTGTGACAGCCGGGCCAGACCTCAGGGAGAACGGCGCCCTGGGACGAATTTGATATCGGTGTCCTCCCTCCTCCTCTTCCTCCATGTTTCATATGCGATTTTAATGAAAGTGTCAGGAATAAAGCAATAGGTCTTCAAACGTATCTGATATAAAAAATACACACCTTTATATCAGCTGTGAGCGATCCATGCTCGTTCTCCTATATTGACCTGACAGCAAGGCAGAGGAAATTTATATTCATGGATGGATCACACAAAGCCTTGCGTCCAGTAGGTAGCCGGAAAACAAAATAATAATACAAAGAGACGATCCAGCATGTTCTAGTATCACATGTGACAAGATTGTGTTGTGAGCCACAGCAGAAAGCCTGTCGTCTGTTGTTGTCTGTCGCAGGTGTGTCATCATAAGCTTTAACTTTACTTTGAGAGGCACGGATTACCGCTCATCACGGAGACAAGTATAATTAACTGTATCATAAATGGCATCCGCGTGTGTTGGAAACAGCAATGTAGGCCTCCAGCAAGTAGACTGAGGAGGTGTTAGTACAGGCCAGGCATGGGGCAATTAATTATCTTAGCTTAACTAGTTAACTTTTGAAATAACAGTTAAACTTATCTTAACTTAATCGAAATTGTGACAAATTAAATTATTAACTTCGATAATTATCAATTGGCTCCTTAGAAAAAAATAACAATTAATATATAACACACCAGACCTTGCGCCCAGTGTGTGTCCATACCGTTTGACTTTCCTGTCAGGTACACGAAACATTCGTAGCCAGACTGGAGAGGGTGAGGCCGCTCTGCCTGCTGCCTCTCAGTTACTCAGTTGTCGTTGCAGTGTCCATGTGATAAACACGCTCTAAGGTCGAGGTGTATATTATAATACTTTTTGCAAGTTGAAAAGGCTTGAAAGTTGAAATATGAGACGAACATTTTCGTATACACATTATGGAAATGAACATAATGAGGTTATCAGGGTGTTGTGGCAATGTGGTAAACCGTAATTTGAGTATCTGACTTGAACTTGGCAGTTAGCATTGAAAAGGTTTGAGTTTAAACTTTCAGTGATTATTATTTATTTGATATGCAGAATTCTAATCTTAACATGATATCATTTTTCAAGTAAGAAAGTCTAACTTGGTTTTGTATGCTGAAATATTAAAAGTATTTACATGTGAAAAACTGTTGAGTAAAAAATAAAAAAGTCAATAATTTATAATTATTTTATCTCAAGACTTATTCATACAAAGGAAGTAGTGTGCCAGACTGCCTCACTATTCAGGTATTCAAACTACAGTATTCATTGACTCTTCTGGAAAACATTTACAGGATATAAAGTTATTTAATTCACATGAAATTTCCTCTAAACACATTTGACACAGACTGGTTAACTTAACTTAATCGAAAAAATCTTAACTTAATTAGTTAAGGTTAAAAAAATCTGGTTAACTTAACTTAACCGGAAAAAAAATTAACTCAACTTAACTAGTTAAATTTGAAAATTAATCGCCCCATGCCTGGTACAGGCCGCCACCGTTGACGTCAGAACTTCCTCCGTCTACCAACACGCGAGGACGGTCCAAATAATCTACCTCCCACAGCTTGTTACAAACACAGAAGACCTTATCCGAGTACTTCGGAGAAAAAATCGAGTAGTATTACTTTCAGATTTCTCTGAATGTCAAGTTTACTGTTTCAGAACGATAGAGAAGTGGCGGTTCTGCTCACCCAACAATGTAATATTTTTAGCGAACTATTGAAATTGGCAGATTTTTTATCTAGGGGTGTCAGCTTTAGCCTTAAAACAGGGTCAGAACACGTTACGCTGACCCCTGAAGAGACAACCGCTCCAGAGGATCTAGATGCCAGCTCTGAGCTGATGTTAAACTGACGCTCTATATTCACAAACATTGATGAGCTATTGAGTGAAGGTTTCAAAGGCCCTTCTAACCCACAGCCTCAACACTGTACTGTCAACAGTCTGGTGGAGAGTAAACACACTAGTAGGAGACACCAGCAAGAGATACCAGCAGCAGACACTAGTAGGAGACACCAGCAGCAGACACTAGTAGGAGACACCAGCAGCAGACACTAGTAGGAGACAACCAGCAAGAGACACAAGCAGGAGACACCAGCAGGAGACACCATGACCTGTGACAATAACCTGTAATCTTGACCTTGGTGTTTAGCAATGACCTGTGATAGTGACGACTTTAACCCGTGAAAATTACTTGTAATGACCTGTGATCTTGATATTGATCTGTGACAATTACGAGAAATATTAACCTTGAAGTAACTTTATCCCTTAAATTCCCCAAAATTAACTCAAGTCATCTTCCAAACTTCACTTAAAACAAGTAATCAATTTTAAGGTATTTTTTCTTGGTATCTAGTAAAGAAAACAATAGCTACAGAATGTCAGACATAGACATAAATTTATACCAACCACTTCTTCGCATCGTAAGAGAGAGAGAGTAAAGAAATATTTATAACGAAACTATCATCTACTTTGTGGAATGTTAAGATGGTCATACACCTTGTCAGAGTATCACCTACACTGTATATTTATTATTATTTTATCATTAATGACGTATGGAATGATATGATATGAGTTACAAAATTGGGTATTCAACTATGCTATGTAAAGCTACTGTAGGTATCACGTACATTCATATCAAAGCTAATGATTCACGTAGTAAGCTAAATATTTCAAGGTCTTCATATCGCAATGCCGATCTTAGAAAAGGAGTATATTTTTTTTTATAGGTAAGCAAAAATCCCACTCAAGTATTTTATGTTTTCTTATACTAACGGAAGGGAATCGAACCCTAGTTGATCCGACAGTTGTGAATAACACTCCAGGCATCCCAAGTCCCAGATGTCTGTCTTGTTGTGTCGCTGTGATTGGCTGTTAATGTTTCTTGACTCTCAGATATAAAAGCTCTGATTGGATACTCGGGAGTAATCATGACCAACCAAATAGCAGCTTATACAAGTTCCTATCTGATGGAATGTTAAGATCGTGTTGAAGTTTATCACTGTTATATATAGTCACTGATGCTTTGGTTAGCTGAAATAAACTAATGACGGAGAGGAATATCCATAACTGATTCAAGGCGCCAGTTCCTTCGTGTACAGGTTCCTTCAGAGGACGCTACGGCAGCAGATCACAGAAGACGCTAGGGCAGCAGATCACAGAAGAGGACGCTAGGGCAGCAGATCACAGAAGAGGACATCACAGCAGCAGATCACAGAAGAGGACGCTACGGCAGCAGATCACAGACGAGGACGCTACAGCAGCAGATCACAGAAGAGGACGCTAGGGCAGCAGATCACAGAAGAGGACGCTACAGCAGCAGATCACAGAAGAGGACGCTACGGCAGCAGATCACACAAGAGGACGCTACAGCAGCAGATCACAGAAGAGGACACTAGGGCAGCAGATCACAGAAGAGGACATCACAAAGAGGACGCTACAGCAGAAGATCACACAAGAGGACGCTACGGCAGCAGATCACAGACGAGGACGCTAGGGCAGCAGATGACAGAAGAGGACTCTAAGGCAGCAGATCACAGAAGAGGACGCTACAGCAGCAGATCACAGACGAAGACGCTAGGGCAGCAGATCACAGATGAGGACGCTACGGCAGCAGATCACAGACGAGGACGCTACGGCAGCAGATCACAGAAGAGGACGCTACGGCAGCAGATCACAGAAGAGGACGCCACGGTTGGTCGCGTTGCTGAGAGCTGTGGTACTTGACACAGCTCGTCTTACTTAATCAATGGAAGGATGTGATTGGTGGAGGCCGTCGGCGTCGTAAGCCTTCGGGATCCAATGAGCTTAGCTGACGAAGCTCTTTTATTTTGAAGTGACGAATCTTTCTGTAGCTGACGATTCTCACTTTACCTTTATTCTATTTTAATTGACGAGCTTCGGATTAGCTTCATGTTTTACTTGAGGTGTGTCTACCTAACATTATTTCCTAGCTGGCGATTATGTTTTGGTATATATTTTTAACTGGCGAATGTCCCTATAGCTTTAATATCATCTTAGTTAACGAATCTGCTTTTAGCTTTCATTTTGGGGACTGACGAATCTCTTTAGCTTTGTTTTTAATTTAGCTAAAGTGTCAGCAAATCTGGACGCATAGTTTTGAATCTTATAAGACAAAAAGTATTGCATTACACAAAATAGCTGATAATTTAGCTTTACATCCGGAATTGTTGAATGTTATAACGTTACCATCAGAATAGTTGAATAGTTTAGCTTTTAACCCAGTAATTGGACTGAAGGGTTGTTTGTTGCTCATCCCGGCCACCCTGCAGCCCGGCCACCCTGCAGCCCGGCCACCCTGCAGCCCGGCCACCCTCCAGCCCGGCCACCCTGCAGCCCGGCCACCCTCCAGCCCGGCCACCCTGCAGCCCGGCCACCCTCCAGCCCGGCCACCCTCCAGCCTGGCCACCCTGCAGCCCGGCCACCCTGCAGCCTCGGCTACGGTAGCCTGGCCACTCCTGCAGCCCGGCTACCTTCCAGCTCTGGCCACCCTGTGCCTGGCTGAATTCTGCAGCCCGGGCTACACCCTGCAGCGCCCGGCTACCCTGTGGTGCCCGGCTACCCCAGCCCGGCCACCCTCCAGCCCGGCTGCCACCCTGCAGCCCGGCCACCCTCCAGCCCAGCCACCCTTCCAGCCCGGCCACCCTCCAGCCCGCCACCTGCAGCTCCGGCTACCCTGCAGCCCGGGCTGTTACCTCTGCAGCCTGGCCACCTCCAGCCCGGCCACTCCTTCCAGCCTCGGCCACCCTGCAGCCCGGCCACCCTGCAGCCCGGCCACCCTGCAGCCCGGCCACTTGCAGCCCGCCACCCTGCAGCCTGGGTTGCCACCCCTCCAGCCCGCCTGGCCACACCCTGCAGCCCGGCCACCCTTCCCCAGCCTGGCCACCCTCCAGCCCGGCCACACCTTCCAGACCGGCCACACAAGTCTCGGCCTTCTCCAACCCGACCACCCTTCAGCCTGGCAACCTTCAGCCTGATCCCTATGTAGACTGGCCACCCTCCAGACTGGCCCCCTGCAGACCGGCCACATTGCAGCCCGGCTACCTCCAACCTGACCTCAATTCTGAAGCCAGCTACCCTCCAGGGCCAGGCCACCCTCCAACCTGGACACTCCCAGTCCGGCCACCTTTCAGTCCGGCTACCTCAGTCCGGGCTACCCTGCAGCCCGCCACCCTGCAGCCTGGCTACCCTGCAGCCCGGCCACCCTGCAGCCTGGCCATCTCCAGCCCGGCTACCACCCTCCAGCGCCCGGCCACCCTGCAGCCCGCCACCCCTTCAGCTCCGGCCACCCTCCAGCCCGGCTACACCTTCCAGACCGGCCACATTGCAGCCCGGCCTTCCAACCCGGACTCACCCCTGCCAGCCCCTGGCAACCCTTCAGCCCGATCCCCATGCAGACCGGCCACCCTCCAGACCGGCCCCCCTGCAGACCGGCCACATTGCAGCCCGGCCACCCTCCAACCCGACCACCCTGAAGCCAGGCTACCCTCCAGTCAGGCCACCCTCCAACCCGGACACTCCCCAGTCCGGCCACCTTTCAGTCCGGCCACCCTTCAGTCCGACCACCCTTCAGTCCGGCCACCCTTCAGTCCGGTCACCCTCTAGCCGGGAAATACTTACAAGATTAAGAAGAAAAATATATCATGAATTCTCTTCTTGCTTTATACCATGACACACACACACACACACACACACACACACACACACACACTGCGAGAGCCATAATTTCATAAGAAACATACCAGGTGAGTGACCCCAAGGTGCATTGTCGTACACAGATGAAGTGTATTAGTCATGACAAGTGAGTGTGTGTAAGACTTGACCTCTGTGATATATGTTCATCAGGGACCTTCTCTGAATAACCAACATAAAGAAATAGTATGTGTGGTGTGGTGGATGTAATCCTAGACAAGGTTCTTGAAACTCCAGGGCACGAGCAGTAGATATATTCAACAAGTGGTACAAGGCTGGGCGTGATAGCCAACCGATACAGGAGCGGTTACTAGGGACCCCGGACCGTAGGTAGGCCGAGGCCGATCTGAGGGAAATTAGCTAGCCAGGCAAGGGGAGTTGCTAGACATTCCTAGGACAATAAATGAGGTCTTCTAATTACTCGACTAGCGCGGTACAGACATAGTACATCGGGACATAGTAAATGAACATAGGCATTAGACATAAGCATGGACATCAGACATGCTATAATAATATGTAGTAATACAGACATGTGAATAAATGGTACAATGAATGGTAACAAGAGTCCTGGTGTCAGGCGTGTTCACATATCTTGGTATGTACATATCTATACAGTATGTAAACACACCTTATGATGCCGGTGTTGTCCTTAGTCATTTATACTCCTTCTCACGACTTATCCTCCATAAGCGAGAGCTACCGGGTCACGCCACCTCTGGTGTAGGACAGTTGCTGCACGACGGTCCTCGGGCTCTTGGTTATCGCTGTGTAAAGCTGTAGTTTTGTTATCGTAAATCCACTGAAAGGCGGGTTATTTTGTTCAGTAAATGAAAGAAACGTTACAGTACATTTACAAACGTTATTATAACACCACAAAACTCATCATAGCTCCCAGTCTTTTTGTGAAGACCTACAAAAGTAAACGTGCAGATGAGCAACGTTAAAGGTACACACAAGAGACCACACAGTGCACAACACACTTAACACTATTTAAAACTTCAAGTTGCCAAGAAATTATCTCCCTCCTTTTGGTCATTACAGCTTCCAGTGAGAGTTGTAGTGGAGTGTCAGAACGAGCAGTGAGCACTCCTTAATGTCTTAGGATTCTACGTATTTCTTATTCATGCACATCACGTCTAACACTGTGGCGGAGTCACTATTATGTGTGTGTGTTTGTTTTTTCCAGCAGGATGACGCCATTGTTGTCCGCAGAGTTTAAGGCACTGGGCCAAGTCCCTTGTTCGTGAGGGTCATAAAGACACGACCAGCTATAAACTTCCCAGACTGCTTAATGGGGTCACTGATGCAAATGACATCCAGACAATGAAACCAGAAGACAAACGGATGACGCCAACAATATCGTGTCTGTACCGTATGTCATGGTTGGAATCCTTGACAAACAACAAAACAAAAATATTTATCATAATTCGATTCGAAATACTCGGTGTTAAGGAGACGTGATCAGTTGACAGTGTTCTCTATGAAGTACAAACCCTGGCGTGATGCATGACGTGAAATAGAGTAGTGGATGAGTGGAACAACTTACCAAACATCATTATTAACTCAAACACGCTGAACAGCTTCAAATATAGGTTGGACGGATATATAAGCGATAGGGGTTGGGTGTAAACGGGGCTGCCCAGTATGGGCCAAAAGGCCCGCTTTTAATTAGTTTAACACAAAGAAATACATCATATTCATTAACAGTATATATATATATATATATATATATATATATATATATATATATATATATATATATATATATATATATATATATATATATATATATATATATATATATATATATATATATAAAACAAAGAAGAATGTGTGTTTGTGTGTCTGCACGAGAATCTCGGAACCTACTTTACCGATCTGTAGTGATGATGGATGGTGTTATATGTAGTGATGATGGATGGTGTTATATGTAGTGATGATGGATGATGTTATATGTAGTGATGATGGATGATGTTATATGTAGTGATGATGGGTGGTGTTATATGTAGTGATGATGGACGATGTTATATGTAGTGATGATGGGTGGTGTTATATGTAGTGATGATCCCACAATAAAATAATAACAGTTTAACTCTAAAAAAATATACTTTGCAGTACCGTTGTAGTGGAACTTACATACACCGTTAATGAACTAATGATGGAAGAATTTTGGGGACTGAACAGTGAGACAATGTGGAGCCTCCCGGAGGGTGGCGTCCTACCGTGGCCTAGCGAATGAGCCGCCCGGACCAAACTTGGCATGGATAGCAAGTGTCATGTGGGGATCTAAAAAAAAAAAAAATGCAACCAACCCGATCCGAAACACCCAACCCGACCCGTTAAACGGCACACAGGTTGAAAAAGATGTGGAAATGTTGTAAGGTCTCCGCACGAGATTCTCGGAAACTACTTTACCGATCTTTAATAATGATAGATAGTGTTATATGTAGTGATGATGGATGGTGTTATATGTAGTGATGATGGATGATGTTATATGTAGTGATGATGGATGTTGTTATATGTAGTGATGATGGATGATGTTATATGTAGTGATGATGGATGTTGTTATATGTAGTGATGATGGGTGGTGTTATATATAGTGATGATGGATGGTGTTATATGTAGTAGGGTGTGTCATACGGAGGCGAATTTTTTTTTTTTGAGTTTGAAAAATCGGCCCATGGTATTAATGATGTAGTTCTATGTGCAGAATCATGTGATATCTTCAGATTTGAAAAGTTTTCATTTTTTGCTAGGTAAATTTTAACTTGAAATCTTATGAAAATTCAGTATTCCCACCCTTTTTATCAACACCACTAAATAGCTTATTTAAAGTAAAGTAAATGTATCAGGTTAATTTATTAGGATGAAAATGATCCAGAATAGTGAAACGAATGATCTTGATATTATTTATACTTAATATTCTTAGAAAATGGGAAATCATCAAATACAAAACCGGTTTTACTACTACGACCCGGTGTTGCTGCACACCATAGAGAACATGTCTTTCTTGCTTCTGTTTCTACTCATCACCTCCCTGGTCACATTGAGGCGAATTTTTTTTTTGAGTTTGAAAATCGAATCATGGTATTAATGATGTAGTTCTATGTGCAGAATCATGTGATATCTTCAGATTTGAAAAGTTTTCATTTTTGCTAGGTAAATTTTAACTTGAAATCTTATGAAAATTCAGTATTCCTGCACCCATTTTATCAACACCACTAAATAGCTTATTTAAAGTAAAGTAAATGTATCAGGTTAATTTATTAGGATGAAACATCCAGAATAGTGAAAACGAATGATCTTTGACACATTTATTAAATTTAATATTCCTTTTTAGAAACAAATCATCAAATACAAAACCGGTTTTACTACTAATACCCGGTGTTGCTGCACACCAGAGAACATGTCTTTTCTTGCTTCTGTTTCTATTCATCACCTCCCTGTTGACCACCTGGAGCTCGGATGTAGCCTTCCCTCCTCTCCTGGGACTCCCACATCGTGACTGCTGGCCTCACTTGCTGTACACAACGCCCATACTCTGGGTGTGCGAGGCCAGGCAGGGACATGCATGGGGTTGTCCAGAAAGCCTGACTTGAACATTGGTGAGGCTGCAGGTAAGAGGGGGCTCACTGGCCAGCCTGATGTTATCCAGATCTTATGAGATCAGTGGAGGGTCTTGGCACTCAGATTGGACTTCATAGGAGTCTTCCTGACCCTGAAGGAATCGGGCCACCAACTTGATCTGTCAGTGCCCAGATCCTCTTATAAGTCTCATATCCAAGATCTTTTGATTGCCCTTCTTCTTCCTCCTCATCCTTACTGCAGGAGCATTGTCTGCAGAACTGCCGGATAGCATACCAGGAAGATCTCTCACAGTCTGCTCCACAATCTGAACAACCTTCCTTGGCTGACTCTCAGAGCTGGTTAAAGCGAGAAGATGCCTCGGACCTTCGAAAACGATGACTGAACTTTAAAGGAAAAACCCAATGGCAAGCAGACACTCCACGATGAATTTAGGACATTGAAAGTCCCAGGAATATTCTTTCATTAAGGATAATCACCCAAAGAACCCGAGAGCCGCTAGAGTCAATTTGTGAGACTGGACCTATCTGCAGGTAAGCAAGTCTATCAGGCATTACCCCAGTTTTGATGGCACTGCAAATCATGTAACCATAGTACTGGTCAGTACTCAGGTCGTCAATGACAGTATGTGCAAGCTCAACGAGTGGAGGGCCAACTGTGATTTTTTCAAAGCTCGGATTTATTTCTAACTCAGTGGCAGAGTCCAGCATCTTGCCAAGAGGACCAGACCATCTGTTGTTTGAAAGAGTCTTGCCATCCAGCTCCTGGATTAGATGTCTGAGTGGCAACTCGTTGGTGTGGAGGTCACAAACAATCCAGACCAGCTTCCTCCCAATCTTCCGCTCTATCCACTGTATGACCCCCCTCACACCCTGTGTACGTGTTGGTGCTGTCCCCTCCAATGGCCTGCAGGGTCTGGTCTACGTTCCTCTCTCTGAGCCAGTTCACAATGTTATCTGCCACTATCTCAGCTGGTTTCCTGATGTCATCTTTCTCTGGAGTGAAATGCCACAAATACTTCCCTCCTGGTTCACTGCAGCAGGAGTAGTGTTCCTCCTTCACCATGGCAGGGAACAACTTGTCATAATCTCCATCTTTCATGAACACTTTAGTGTCATCCCTTCTCCCATCAAAGAACAAACAATTGATTCCATTTTCTCTTATCCCCTTATCAAACTCCTCTTCTACTGTAGGTTACTGACAAGTTTCTCCTGAGCTCTCCTTACTTTGTTATGATCTATCACCAGGTGAACATCATCAGGTGTTATCAAACCACCGTCAACCCAGGCAGCTGTTGCTATCTCTGCAGTTTCTCTGAGACCAGTGTG